TCGTTGATTATTAGCATTAGGTATCGGATACCTTACGTCCGCTTCTCCCGTAGTAGAAATGGATTACCATTTATTCTTGATATGACCTTGATATGACCTTCAAAAGGTCAGGTCGAAAAACTAAAAGATCCCTATGCTCATGTAAAAAGTGCCATTGTTTAAGAGCCCATTGTCAAGAAACAGGTTCTGCGGTCAAAAATAGGGTTTACTGATCCAAAACTGCGTTATGAGCCTCAAACAACCTTGAAAATTGACCTCAAGGTCAAGCTAGTTAAAGTGATTTACACTTTTACAATTCATTGACTTTGTTTAAGCATTATGCACATTTGTGTTACCCAGAAAACCACGTCATTTCAGAAAAAGTACACCAGATCGTTTTTTAGACATTTCACCTTCATTTTTGACCTTTCCAAGATCCAAAAACAATTTTTTCATAAGACAAGTTTGATGTAAAATTTTCCGCTCTTTCGAAATCCGCAGTCAAAAATAGGGTGTCCCATTAGAAAAAACCATCGTGACCTTGAAGTAACCTTCAAAATTGACCTCAAGGTCAAAACCAATGGTACAATTGAATGACCCCCTCTGTCCTGGTCAACTTTTATCTAAACCATTTTTTTGTAGATACCGTAATTTGGAAGATATTCGGATCCATAGACTAAAATGACTCACCCTGTATATATACAGGATATCCCTCACTCTCTTCCGAGCATTTTGTGGGAACGTAAAACAAGTTGCGGTGAACATAAAAGTCCTATACCGTTTTGCGATATTCGCAATAATTATCGAGATATTAATTGTAGAAAATTTGTGAATGATCATGCAGGATATGGTAAATGAATTATAATAGCGACAACTGCCGTCGTGTACTTATACTTTAGGTCAAATTGAACAAAAAAGTCCTCTACCATTTTGCAAATAATCACATAGATTTTTAATTATTAATTAAAGAAAATATATGCATTATCACGCAAAATCGTGCATTAATCTTCTTTAATTAATAATTAAAAATCTTTGTGATTATTTGGAAAATGGTAGAAAACTTTTTCGTTCAATTTGACCTAAAGTATAAATACACAAAGGCAGTCGCCGCTATTATAACTCATTTACCATATTCTGCATGATCATTTACAAGTTTTCTACAATTAATATCTCTATAATTATTGCGAATATCGCAAAACGGTATAGGACTTTTATGTTCACCTCAACCTGTTCTACGTTCCCATAAAATACCCGGAGGAGAGTAAGACATCCTGTATGTATATATCTTTATTGTTTCAATTATGTTATAAATTACTTATACATTTATGTTATATGTTTACAACTTATTTACTCAGTTATGTGTTATAACTTATTTTTACTTATAATTTAAGTTTTTGTATATATCGATTATAAAAAAATGTGTATACAATAAATGGTAGCACAAAACACATTAGATACACATATACTCTTTAAGATTCCCTCGATACGCAAACAACGACCCGATAAGCGCAAATTCGAATTTATGCATATACAATCAAGCTCAACGGAGTGAAATATTAATTTCGCTATTAATTATTATAATATAATTGGATATTGTGCGTCACGTAGGTATAATAGATGTATCGATGCAAACCAGCCATATTTCTAATTCTATAGGCACAGTGCGAATACCGATGCACTTACAATCAACGAGAAGCGGAAACGACCGACTTCTGGATCATCGCAGCTACGACAAAAAATGGAACTCCCCGCATGTATCCTGGAAGAAGGAAGAAAACTCTCAACAACAACGAGTACACACTTGGATATGAAAGTGTCTATCTACTTAGCGGTTTCGATCGACTAGTACAACCGACGTTAGCCATATTTATCACATCTCGGAAAGAAAAAATTCCTCTTCCACCCCTGTCGACTAATCTTCATATACCTCTTTAAGTGCACAAACATTTTATTCGAAATCTTCACATTTTTCAAACTTCAACGAGATGCTAATTGTGCGAAAATATATGATGCTAATTGCATGAAGATATCCGTGTTATTATATTATACGGAACGTAATTTAACACATTCATTACGGCGACATATTTGGAGATCTTGTTTGAAATGATGAACAGAAAATGACAGAAAATGCTGGTTTTCCTTTTCAATGATAATTTTGCGTTCTCTTTTTCAGAACATATTTAAGAAATTTTATAAATAAATTATATTACAAATTATCATATTTTCTCTCTCTCTCTCTCTCTTTGCAAATATATATTTGCAAATATAATTAAGTAAACTGTTAGATAAATAAATTATATTAAGATTATTATATCCTTTATAAATATATATTTATATAAATAAATAAATATATGGTAAATGTTTACCTTTACACAGCCAACTCCAAATAATTTCCGAGTAACTTTGATGTTGATCTTGATCTTCAAGGAGGTCAATGCTATTGGCATTTAACGGCGCTCATTGTTTGTTAAAAAATCATTAATCAAAAAATTTTAGAAGTTGAATGTAATTTTTGCACACAGTGTATATAGAAATACTGAAATATTTGCGCATCTTCTATAGTTTCCAAAATATTAATAAAAAAGATAACATACACTGCTCGCCCGCCTACTCGGGCGGGCTCGCGGTGTGTGCCTGTGTTCGTATTATTTTTGAAGTTTTATAAATACATACTTTTTTAAGAATATAAACACGGCTATATGACAGTCGCTATAGTTTCCGAGATATTAATAAAAAAGATACCTGTCTCTAGCCGTATAACTGGGGGGCTTCGCTCCACAGACCCCGCGAACCGCGGCAGGGGGTGGGAGGAGCCACATCTATTGTATTTAAGCTAAAGAGTGAGAATTTCTCACAAAAGTGTGAAAAAAAGTATGTATTTATAAAACTTCAAATATAATAGAAACATACGCATATATCGCGAGCCGCACAGGCGGGCGCACAGTGGCGCAAAAAGGCTCTCTTGGTAGACAAAAATTGCTGGACGAGATAATTTTTAACCGATTTTAATTCTTTTTTTTTATTTACCCGTTATAAATTGCTCTACAACTCTATCGTCTCACTTTTTTAAAGTAGAACTTTAGTTCAAAATGACAGATTCAAAATAATTGTTAAAAACATAGAAACTATAAGATATTGAATATTCTTGCATCAGACAAAATTTATACGGATTTATACTCATATAATTTATACTTAAATCGACAGAGCGAACGTTGTATCATGGCGAAACTAGCAGTTCCCTTTTAAATTTCGCGAAAACATAATTGCCCCCGCGCGAACGAACGCCGGATTCATTATTCGCGTTTCCAACCCCGAGATCAAAATCGGTTACGTACCGCGTCTTTATATCATCGACGGTGTATACATCGGTGACTGGGTAGTCAACGGCAAAGGTTATTTGCGCGCAATTAATACCACCGAAGATGTCGAATTAATAGTACCTATGGTACGTCTTTGCGAAATCGCACAAGTATCATATTACCATCAAGAGTATACACAAGTACACACAAGTACACACAGTGTCGTGCGCGCACACAACGAAACCAGAACCCGCACTGCACGATGTACCGTCACTGCCGTCACAGATTCCTTTGCAACCACTAAATCATCCACTGTATCCTCTAAGACAAAGTTTCCTACCAAATCCCTTAAAATCACCAATTCTTCTAAATCGTAAACGGTTAAACCGCCTCTTGAACTCGCAAGCAATGATGTCGTAGAGTCTTTTAATTCTCTTTTTGTTTTAAGTAGCGATTTCCAATAATTGAGCTCATCGTCTACTGTATCTTTAAATGTTGCCAGTTTCTGATTCTAATTTGCCGGAGGTACCGTCTACTATTTCCTTAAACGATGACTCGATTCTAAATCACACTGACTCTCAGTCTTCTACTCTGCACGTCCCTTGCATTGAAATTCTGTCTCGTGCAGTGCATGTTAATGCGCCTTACAATAATCGCAAGGATAGTCCTAAATCTTCAAGATCGTCATCCTCTGAATCTTCTAATTTCTCTGTGGATTCTAACTCCAAATCCGAATTATTATACTAATCCACAGAAGATCTTTATTATTTCTGCAAATAACGATCTCGATCTCAAATTCCTAGACTCTCCTATCCCTCAAAGTTTATGCTCGAAAGTTTCAGAAATCGCAAATTCCACGTCATCCAATTGCTGTCTCTCTCGCGTTAACCAAATCATCAAATTCCTCCGGCTGGATCATTTGAATTTGGAGGAGCTCAATAATATACAAATATTAATCAACAATCACAGTAATCGATTCCATCTACCCGGCGAACCGCTAGAGAAAATTTCCTAACTTCCCATCAAATTTTCACCTCCGACGAGATCCCGGTTCATACGAAACAATATCGCTTTCCTCCTATCCATAAAGAATAAATTTCAAAACAATTTGGCGATCTCTTAAAAAAACGATATCATCACTACCTACAATTCTTCTTACAATTTTCTTGTTTGGATCGTGTCGAAAAAACCTGACTCTAACGGAAACAAGCGCTGGCGAACATTTATCGATTATTGGCACTTAAACGAAAAAACAATTGGTAATGCGTACCCCCTACCTAACATTTGCGATATACTCGATCAACTTGATGGCGCTAAATATTTTTCGGTCCTTGATTTGGCAAATGGATTCCATCAAAGTCCCATGAATCCGGATAACGCTTCTAAGATCGCCTTTTCTACCTTTCACGGACACTAGCAATTCGAAAGAATGTCATTTGGTCTTAAAAACGCTCTCGCCACTTTTCAGCGCCTTATGGATCAAACATTATCCGGGTTACAAGACACGGAGCTATTCATTTACATGGACGACATTGTTGTGTACGCATTCTCTCTACAACAACACGACGTAAAAATCAGAATTTTAATCGACCGCCTTCGAAAAGCTAATCTTCTCCTTCAACCTGATAAATGTCAATTTCTATGACGCGAAATGGCCTACCTAGGTCACATAATTGGCGAACACGGTATCAAACCCGATCCAAACAAAATCTCCTCCATTCGCGATTTTTCTACTCCTAAAAACGCTAAAAACATCAAACAGTTTCTCGGATTGGTTGGTTACTATCACTGCTTTATTCCCAAATTCTCGCGCATCGCCAATCCCCTATCCAAACTATTGAAAAAAAACGAACCTTTCTCACGGGGACCCGAACAATAAAAATTGTTCGAAATTCTGAAGAACGCCCTATGTAAAAAGCCTGTACTCCAATATCCCGATTTTTCTCAGCCCTTTGTTCTTACTACCGACGCCTCGAAGATCGCCATAGGCGGAGTACTCAGCCAAGGCCCCATTGGCCAAGATTTATCAATCACGTATGTCTCGCGCGTTCTTAATTCTGCGGAAAAAAATTATTCTACGATTGAAAAGGAACTCTTAACCATAACTTATTGCGTGAATCATTTTCGACCATACTTATACGGGCGCGAATTCATTTTAGTTACCGACCATCAGCCTCTTACATGGTTGTATAGCGTAAATCCTATATCTCGTCTCATGCGTTAGCGCTTAAAGCTCAAAGAATATAATAACAAAATAATTTACAAAAAAGGTTCTCTAAATCGTAACGCCGACGCTCTCTCTCGAAATCCGCCACGCAAAGAATTAGCAGGAAATATTTTTCAAAATAATAAAACTTCTCCTACTTCTCAAAATTCTCCTAAATTCTCTCAAATTTTATCAATCGAGAAAAAACAGTTTCCTTCTCAATCTCTGCAGTTGATAAATGATAACAATGAATCTTTCGATTTTAATTCTGATGCCAACATTGCAATTATTTCACAAATACATTTTCACTCACTCTCTTAACCCGTTGATTACGAAAAATTTCCTGTCTCTGACACACAATCGCTTACCATCCTCCCTATCCGAAAGAGGAGATAGTTAAATAGCTGTGAAGCGTGTTACGATAGCGCATCTGACATCGATCTTGACGAGCCGCACGCGCGATCATGTAAGATAAGTCTTTGTCTGCGACCCGCTCCCGGCGCTCATCAAGACGTAGCGTCCAGTGTCGTACTGCCGTGCGCGTTATCGCCGCGCTCAGCTGACGCTCCGTTCCCTCAGCTTCCTCTCGGTTCTCCAACGCGCTTTCTTTCTTCGTCTTTTCCTCCTTCGTCTACACGCCTCGCGTCGCCTCCGCGCTTGGACAACGGCGCAGAGACGGTATCGTTTCCAGGCTAAATAGCTGAACAAACTCCTCTTGACGAATTCTACGAACCATTAGAAGCCGCATTACAAAACGAGAATTATATATCTGAATCCGAATCAGAATCTGACGTCGAACCTGAAAATGAATTGTTATCGCCGATAAATCCTACTGCTCTCACTATTCGTGAAAGACGAGAAAACATATTAGCTCACCGAGATAACATGATAGTGTTAGATGCACACCCGGTCGACAGAGGTACTCAGTTCCTTGCAGAATTAAATAGAATGCCACCTCTAATCGAACTAACTCTCGGCCGTGGCTACGTGTTCTTAATTGAAAATACTCGAAAAAATTTAATCGTTTTATCTCAAGAAACGATGATCCACTTTATTACATCTTGATATTTTAACCGAATCATTCCGTTTTTTATTAGACATCTCATTGGAACTAAATTTAAAATTTTTCTGTCTCACGGAAACCAATTCACTAGACGACATTAATTGGCTAGCCGTGCGTGAAAAACTAGAAAACATTTTCGCAAAAAGACACAATTCTCATTTGTTTAGGTCTTACTACACGTCCGCCCGAAAAAGAACCTTCCAAATTAAAGCTGAAAACCACAGTTCTGCTTTCGGTGGACACAAGGACGTGATAAAAACTTATTGTCGTATTCGACAAAATTTTTACTCGGAACAGTAAATTCAAGAATATATCCGACAGTGCCGTACCTATCAGTTAAAGAAATTAGTCTGTCTAAAAACTCATCAACCAATGATCCTGACCGACACTCCTGATGTCGCTTTCGACAAGGTTGCCCTCGACATTCTCGGCCCCTTACCTAAAACACGAAACGAAAAGGTCTACTTTCTCACCATCCAAGATCTTTTTACTAAATATTCACTTGTCATTCAATTAGCTCATTTTACTGTCGAGGCAACCGCCGCCGCATTCATTAACAATTTTATCTGCCAATTTGGTTGCCCCAAAGCTATTTTAACCGATCAAGGAACAAATTTCATAGGCTGTGTAATGCGAGAAGTTGCAGTTCAAAATTAAACATTTTAAAACCACCGCTTTCCATCCTCAATCTAAC